AAATAACTTAATCGAATACACTCGTGGACAAAACTTAAGAAAGTGAAAAGTCGTGGTACAGCTATTATATATATAAAAGTCAGTGTATGTATATATGTTTGTAGGATGGTTGTTGCGTGAAGTGCTGGTGTGGCTTGTGGAAAGGCTGCTGATAAAATTATAATTAAAATTAATTTATTTAAAGCAAGAAATTATAAAGAGAAAAGAAGTAACGGCCGTCTGCTTTAGCCTTGTTGTTTACCGCTGAGTAGCCAGATCAAGTGTCGGAAGAAGCCAGCCGCTAGAAAGTTCTGGATGATGCCCGCGCATGCGTAGTGAAGTGTTCTCCCAACACGTGCTCGCCAAGCTTCTGCCCGTATGTGTTTTGAAGCTTTATCCCAGTTCGCTGAAGCAAAGTGCGGTCGCCACACTACTCCCCCTCCAGTAGGATCCTTAAAAATCCTATGTAGTCGTAGAGGGAACTCTTGGTAGGGTGCCTTGTTAGGTTGGGATCTGGTCTTGGGGGCTTGAGGGAGGCACCTGTCCTTTTCAAATGTTGTCCGGATGTAATGGGTGGCGACCATCTTGTTAGCTTGCAGGGACACGATGGGTTGCACAGCGATAGGGATAGTCGCCGTGAGTACCGGAGGAGCTATTGGAATTAGGATAGTAGTGACTCTTGATTCAATGGGAGGTGATGACTGTTGGAGAGAGTTTTGAGGTTGGAGAGGTTGTGTTACCGAAGTTTGGGTGGGCTGCAAGTGGAGAGGAGTCGTTGCAGCAGTGTTATTGGTTTCTTTTAGGAAGAGTGGATGTTTCTGCTCGCAGGATGGAGGCAAGGGCTCTTCGTGAGACGGCGGCTGCTGGGGCAAGGGCTCTTCATGAGACGGCGGCTGCTGGGGCAAGGGCTCTTCATGAGACGGCGGCTGTTGGGGCAAGGGCTCTTCATGAGACGGCGGCTGCTGGGGCAAGGGATTGTCACTGTGCACTGGGGTGGAGAAAACAGTTTCAGGGGGACACGAGATGGTGTTTGAAGGAGGGTTGGAGCAGAACGATGAGGAGTCCAGGGATGAAGAGTCACTCAGAGAGCTGGAGAGAGAAAGCAAGGCGGAGCTTGAGTTGGTGTCTTCAACGTTCTGGACTGTAGTCACCGGGGCAGTTGTTGTGACATTCATGTCACGGGGAAAAGCCGTCTGCTCCAGGTGTTGGAGGCTATTGGAGGAGGGAGTACAGGGATCACAGTGCTGAAATGGAGGTGGCTTGGGCAAATCAACCAGGATAATCGAGGGTCTCTGATCAGCAATGGGCTTAGTTTCTGAGACTTGAGCTGTTCTTACCTGGCGTGACCGGCCAAATCGCAGGAGAAGTCGTTCTTTGAGCGCCGCATATTTTCCTGAAATTGGTGGGTTCTCTACAATGTCGAAGACGCAGATGAGAGCCAGTCTATCCAAATTAACGATTATTGTGTTATACTTGAAATCATCGTCGCTGGCGATGTTTGCAAAATTAAAGGCAGCTTCCAGTTGGTTGAGCCACAATGGAATGTCGTTTGGCAAGAAGGGTGGAGCTCGAAAAAGCAATTTTGATATTTGAGATGGGGTGAGTTCCATCGTGAATGTTTGGGCTCCCTTGATTTGCCCTTGACGTTGGCCGTTAATTCTTCATTCGAGTCGTCCGGCTCACCAATTTGTGGGATTGTTGTTGCGTGAAGTGCTGGTGTGGCTTGTGGAAAGGCTGCTGATAAAATTATAATTAAAATTAATTTATTTAAAGCAAGAGAAATTATAAAGAGAAAAGAAGCAACGGTTGAAGTAACGGCCGTCTGCTTTAGCCTTGTTGTTTACCGCTGAGTAGCCAGATCAAGTGTCGGAAGAAGCCAGCCGCTAGAAAGTTCTGGATGACGCCCGCGCATGCGTAGTGAGGTGTTCTCCCAACACGTGCTCGCCAAGCTTCTGCCCGTATGTGTTTTGAAGCTTTATCCCAGTTCGCTGAAGCAAAGTGCGGTCGCCACATGTTGTATGTATGTATATGTTTGTCGGCTATACAAATCAGGCTATACAGGACCTAATCTGGCTGAAATTTTAACAGGAGTTAGAGAAATTTCTGTAAGAGTTTATTGTCGCATTTTTAGCCAAGGAAAATTGAAATTGACCAAGTTCTGGACAAAAATAGTTGTTTTTTTTTTTTAGTCAAAAAATGATTATGATAATATTGCTGTATCATGTTTTATTTTCAAATACAAAATTATTTCGGGGGGGAAATTTCATAAATCAGACCACGGACGAAGCCAGTTCATCTTTAGTAGGCAGGAACAAAATTCTAAAAGCAAAACATTCACTCGAGCAGAAGGCACGAAGCCAGGTCATTTCTACATATAACATATCGCTTCTCAGCCAAAAGGCTGAGATCATAGTATATATCTATCCCTATATATATAAAAGTCAGTGTATGTATGTATGTATGTAATGTAATGTATGTATGTATGTTTGTCGGCTATACACGTCCATAATATGCAACTAATCTGGCTGAAAATTTATCAGTATATAGAGTTGAATCTGGAAAAATTGATAGGCAAATTTTAAGGCTTCTATCTCGAATATCCTTGGAGTTATTAACAAACTATTAACAAATTTTCTCTATTTCACTCGCAACCAGCGCCTCACTGCGGAAACTGCGAGAAGTAAAGTTGGGGAAGGATGGACCACGTGGGGCGACGGGGACGTTTCACAAGAGTGACCTTGAGTAACGTAATGACGATGTAAGGGCAAGAAATCACTTGCTATCATTCTATGTGTACAGTAGAACTCCTCAAATTCGGAAATTCTGAAATTCGGAAACTCCCAAATTCGGAAAGTATTGTAATGTTTTTTTTACATACAAAAAATCAATTTTCACATGCTTTTATTTTGTTGATATTTCAACATTATTTTATTTTATTTTATTTACTTTTACTTTTGCTTTGCTTTTATTTTATTTAATTTAATTTTTATTAGTAATATTTATTTTTAATTTAAGTGTTTAATTAATTTACTTTTACAGATTATTTATAATCGCTAATTAGGGGTTTATCCCCTTTTTTTAAAAGCTTAAATAAATCAACAGTTTCATTTGACCTTTGTGCTTAGTTTAGGATATTGTCCAATAAGAAGGCAGCATTATTACGTCATAAGCCATTCACGCATTTTTTATTGCAAAGTTGATTCACCTAAAGTTCAAATTATCAAACATTTTCAGACATTGTAAGTTTCAAATTCTTTTATTCAACTCTCAATTTTTTGCATTTACAAGTTTGTTCTTCAACAAAATGGCATCCAAAGAGGAGCGGCAAAAACGAGGCAAGTACCGAATTCTTTAGCTTGGTGAAAAGTTAGATGTTCTTAGTGACATTAAAAAAGGATTAAGCTATACAACGATAAAGAAGAGTAAGGAGAAAAGATTTTTATTCAATTAAACTTGTGACAAGCTTTCGGGCAGTCACGCCCTTCAACAGGTAATAAAAAGAATATTTAAAAAATAGATTCTCCCACCACCTTGTACAATAACATTTCCAGTAAACACCAGAGATTAATCATAGAGGCCATTTTATCCATTTCTAATGACAGTATTAATCGACATATAGATTTACCTAACCATTATCATGATATATGTATTAACTTAAAAACCGGATAAACACCCTCCCCCCCACCTCACATTACTTTCCCGAATTCACGTTTTCTCGCGGCCAGGCTGCAGTTGTATCATTTTTGTTTAAAGCTCTCAGTTTGTTTCCTATTTTAATAGTCAATTATTCTTTTTATTACCTGTTGAAGGGCGTGACTGCCCGAAAGCTTGTCACAAGTTTAATTGAATAAAAATCTTTTCTCCTTACTCTTCTTTATCGTTTATACAATCTATGGAGAAAGTTTTCAAGTAATTTTATTATACTGCTTTTTCAAGCTATACAACGATAATGCAAAAGTATAAAATTTCTAAGACAACTGTTTATGATATAAAAAAGTCTGAGCTTAAACTTACAAAGTTAGTTGAAGCTGTTTTGAGTGAAAAAATGGAAATCGGCAGTTCTGATGATTGTTCCTCAACTTCTGAAGACAGTTTGGAGCCGGATGTTCCCAGATGCGAAGCGTTGAAAAGTTTGGATGTTGCATTAAAATATTTGGAAAAGCGCACTGAACCAGAAATGCTTGCAAGCTACAACACCATCAATTGTCTTCGAACTATGCTTATGAGAGAAGAAGAAGCGTTGTTAAACAAGCCAAAGAAACAGACAACAATCAGCAACTTCTTTGCCAAGCCATAACTTACTTGGCCATCAATTGCATTACATACATAATAAAATATTTTACTATTTTTCATCGGTTTCATGCTCAAAACTCATAAAAGTCAAGGAACATTTGATTAAAAATCGTAATTAAAATTATGTAATGTACATATAATATTCAACCTAAAATTGTTCATATGCTTCAAAATCTTTGTCTCAGTCATCTAAATGCCTATTTATGCCACATAAATATTCACAAATCTAACTCTCTCAAATTCGGAAAATCCTCAAATTCGGAATACCTTGCGCCCCAAGCTTTCCGAATTTGAGGAGTTCTACTGTATATCATATTTCGTCCACTTTTAATATATATTTTGTTATTCTAAAATAGCTCAAATAACAGCAAAAATCTCTTATTAAATACCAATTTAATAATACCCCATTTCACGAATTAAAAAGCGAGTTGAACACACAGAAATAAGGTTTAGGAATTTCCATGTTTTCAGACCGTTTCTTAAGGTTTCTACTGTGTTTTCAAAAGAAAACTTATACAAATGGTTAAGTGTGAAACTGTATGTTGCAGGGACTGGGTGAACCAGGATTCAAGTTGTACATATTACCTTCTATATAGTTAGGTTATTTTTGTGTTTTGTTGTGCTGTGTCATTTTGTGTCGTATTTTATTGTGCTGCAAAAAAAGGTTGATAAAAACTGAGTATTCGGAATTAAACAGTCAGAATCTCCTTATGCGCCCTCTTATAAGAAACCACGTGGTCTAGTGGCTAGGATACCTGGCTCTCACCCAGGAGGCCCGGGTTCGATTCCCGGCGTGGGAAGTTTTCTTCCGGCGATGATCCCCTGGCCACCCATCCCCAGGCCCCTCCAACAGTGCAATGTATATAATGCTTTATATATATTCCGCTTTATGCGTCCATTGGGGCTCAAAAATCATTCATTCTAGTTAACAGCCCCGTGAATAAAGATATTTCCATAAGAAACCCATTTTGTACATTTCCTGCTGATTTTTAAAATCAAAGAGGTGAAATGCAAAGGACTCAATGTTCTTGCTTAAATCTGTAAGTTGACTTCAGGAACGTCCGTCTGATGAGCTTTTGGGTTTTCCCTGACTACATCTAGTTCCAATACGCCCCAAAGGAAATGTTTGATTTGCTCACTCAGGCCTTCAAGGATGATTGCTTGTCGTGCTCGCAGGTCAAAAAGTGACACAAGTCGTTCAAGAAAGGCCGGGAAGAAGTGGCTGATGAGACCCGTCCGTCCATCAAGATCGCGAACGGACGATAATGTCCTTCGTGTGTGAGATTTGCTGAACAAAGACGGCCGAAAGAGTTAGCTTGATGTCAGAACAATTAATTTGTTCAAAATATATGTTCATCGAATTGTTTCAGAAGACTTTGCCATGCGTAAGATTTTCGCGAAATTTGTCCGATGATCAAAAACAGCACGGAACTTGGTCATTCTTGCTTTCTTTGGACGCGGTGACGAGATCCTGTGCCATTCCGTACTCTGCATATTCATCTACGGATCGTATTCAAAGATCTCATCTCCAGTGATGACGTTGTCAAGGAAATTTAGGTCCTCCTCACAGAGTTCAGGCAGCTCGTTACACACTTCCACGCGCTGCTGTTTTTAGCGTCGGACAAGAATTTTGGCACAAAAGTCTTATAAATACAGTTAAACCTGTCTATAGCGTCCCCTCTAAATAGCGCCTCCCTCTCTATAGCGCCCGATTTTAAATACGTAGTACGATGCGATTTACATTAAAAGTGACCTGTCTATAGCACCCCCTCTCTATATCACCCTATTTTGGTGAGTCCCAAGAGGGGGCGCTATAGACAGGTTAAGTATATCAAAAGATAGACAAAAATTCCCTAGCAGACACTGTATCGTCTTCATGTCAAAAGAAACACTATCCACTAGTGCTACTACTACAACTAATGCTATTTCCAAACTAAAGTTAAACTATTTGATCCTCAGTAACCATCATAACGCTTTCTTCATCCATTAGAACGTAAAAGCGCTCGTATAAGTGAAAAATACAGATTGAAATACCAAGAAACCACACTATCGTTTTATTATCTGAAAGACCTCTAATTAATAGTAAATACAAATAATCATAATACAGATAAACCTGTCTATAGCGCCCCCTCTTGGGACTCACCAAAATAGGGTGCTATAGAGAGGGGGTTCTATAGACAGGTCACTTTTTATGTAAATCGCATTGTGCTACGTTTTTAAAATCGGGCGCTATAGACAGGTTTAACTGTATCTAAATTATAACATTATTAATTTATGGGAAACATTATATAATCTTCCTTTTATTAGGAACTCTTTATGCATTAGTATGGAACGCTTCACGATTTTGCGTGTCATCCTTGCGCAGGGGCCATGCTAATCTTCTCTGTATCGTTCCAATTTTAGTATATGTACCGCCGAACAAGCGTGTACTTTATGCATTAGTAGTGTCAGGACGTAAGAAAGATTGGCCTTGGTAGCAGGGACAGTTCGAAAATACCTGCACGCCAGGAATAGCCGACACAGTTCAGTGAGCGCGAGAGGGAGTCACGACAGACTTTGTTTTTCTGTAATGACATAAGGTTAAAAAATCGATTCTAACAAATATTCTTATTGTAGAACGACGTTTGACTGTGGGTTCGATTCCCATCCCTGGACACTTTATTTTTCCATTTATCATTACTCTTCACAATTCATCCCTAAGGATAGAAATAGTCACTATTTCTCCTTAAAATAAATTACGATTTTACGTTCAAAAGAAACATTTGCGGTAAAATTGTCAAACGTCGTTCTACAATCATAATCCGCATTATATTGTATTGTTGCGTTGTTGGTTAACAAAGAATAACTTCCGTGGGTACAAAGGATCTCTAGGACTTTATTTAAGCCTAATCGATAAAATAATTACAAAAGAGCGCAAAAATAAAACAACAATAAAGAACACAGCAGTTACAAACTCACCAACTACAGCACGGTGAGGGAAAGCAGGAGCAGAACAGGAGACAGAAGTTCGTAAAACCTTCTAGAATCTTCCAGGAAGTACACCGGCGTCGGCGGTAAGCAGCAGTCCGACCTCTTGAGACAGCAGCTTGCTTGGAGTACACCACGTAGCTTCATTCTTCGACCTCTTTTTCTTATCTTTCTTCCCCCTTGGCATGAGTTTCTCATCCCTATATATCCCGGAGTAGATCTTTCCAGAACGGTCATGGTTGGTTAGCCAATCAGAAAGCCGCCAGCACCGAGCGTTGCACAATAGCTTTAGATTGGCCAATCAGTTGTCTTCCGCTTTTTCTACATGATTCTTAAACGCTCTAGAACATTCTCTCTTCATCTGGAATGTGCTTTTATTTCTACGTAACAGTATTATAAAAGATCTTTATAGCGACCACGCGTGCTTCATGTACGGCTATCCTGCATTCACACGACGGTAGCACAGCGGCGCCATCGTAGAATCAATAGAACAATTGGATAAAAAAGAAAATGAATTCCCGAACACAGCCATTGTAAATCTTATTCTCAAAAAGAACTCTTCAGCCGGTTTCAAAATCACTTTATTAGGTACCGCTCAAAAAGAGCAATCTAGTTTATGATAATTGAAACGGTGAATAATATGTGAAGGTTATTCACACATTAAACTAAATTTTAACGCGGGATACGATCCCGGTTCATGGCTGTCGGGAATCGAGGGTGTTAGTTACCCACTCGTCCACCGACTTTTATGTATGTTAAAAGAACTCTTACAAATAATAGATGCATATTCACAGATATTTCGAAAGTTACCTTATTGATTTCCTAGTCACCAATGGACTTTTTTTTTCCAGAAGGTTCACGAATCATACCATTAGGTAAAGTAAACAAATACATATCTAAAGTTTGACCATATAATTTCTAGCACCCGATGTAGCGTCTTCTTAATCAGAAAACCTCTATACAATATTGGGTTAGAATATTCAGAAATGAACAGAAAGATAACCTACATTTCCTAAGAGTTGTCATTGTAAAGTAATTCATGTCTGTAAGGGATTGATCTTTAGTGACAAACAAATGTTCTGAATAAATGAAAAGTAACGCATTAAATTCCGTAACAACAGCTTTTTACATCTTCTTTTAAGAAGGAATTCTATCGATCAGCTAGAATAAATTCTCAAATAAATCAAAATTACACCATACATTCTATAACAACCACTGTGTAATGAATACTTATTTATAAGATATTCTCTCTATCTCCAATAGTGCGTTCAAATCCACAAATAAATTTCCAGCTGTCCAATAAATCCCCTAGAACAGAGTTCGGCAAACTTTTGAGTCGGAAAATCAAAAATTACAATTTACAAAATTGCAAAGTTTTTAAAGAGCCACAATTTTTTTCTTGCCAACAGTTAATAGTACTCAGATAAATAAAGTTTTTATTTATGTAAGTACTACACGCAACTTCACATCCAAAGAGCTGCAGGTTGCCGACACCTGCCCTATAACCATTATAAATTCTTATTTTAAAAATCTTTTATTTTACTTCCTTCCTTCGCCTTACTCTACCGCTAATTATCAAACTTACAAGAAACTTCTGCGACGATGCAGCTGCTATTGGAACATTCTGCCAATATCTGGTGACGGACAATGCGAGGAGTGAGTACAAGGAAGGGACTTTGGATGAAGCCGCGGTACTGCGCGGCACGGGACTTTTTGAGCATATGCACACGCAGGCATCGTATGATTGAGCGCCCTCGTCTGGCCGCCGTTCACATCTTACGGCATCTCCGGCGCCTATCTTCCACCGGCATGTTTTCCCTCATCCCTCCTTCGGGGACCATGCGGCGGACATCGCTCTGCGGCTGGCCCTGCCTCTTCAAGGTCACCTGGCATCGAGCCAGCCTGTAAGCATCCGAAAGACATTCTCCATCATTGGGCGACCGTGTAGTCCTGGATCTTCGCGGTGGGGCTCTATGATAACGCTTTTACCATCTCTTTAGTGGAAAAGCACACGATCTATGCTTTCTTCTTAGATCGCGAAATGCCTGGTGTTGCTGGAGGCTGGCGATTGTTGATCAAACACTGTAGAGGCGTCATGTACATATTCACTGTATATAGCATTGAATATCGTTATCATTGTCATCATTCTGCAGTTATTGCGAACACTTTGACATATTTTGACAGGATACTAAGAGAAGTTGTCAATTGTCTCTCAGCTACGTGATCTAGAATGTAAGGTTAAGACTCTTGCATAAATATGGTGCCTCAAACTATGCAGCCCAAGAGAAAAAAATCAATTATTGAATGATTTGGGAATTTCACAAGTCCTCTAAAAGTACTGGAAGGTTTTGAGAAATGGCATTTAATCTCAATCCCAATGAATAGAAAACTCCTAGTATGAGGGCAGGCAACGTCCTAATTGGATGGCTAACACAAAAGGGGACAGAATGAAAGCCAAACTTTCGACTTCATTCTTGTAATGAAGAAGGAAACTCTCTTATCGTTAGGGGTAGAAATCGCCCCAAAAGGCGGAAGAGCCAAATTTATTTAGCCAAAGGCATAAATGGAAGAAGGTCCAGGGTGGACCAAAGAATGGCAGGTACTTGGGGTCCTGTATCAGCCCCATCACATGGTATAAATCTTACAATTTTGAATTATACCCCAAGTTTGCTATCAAAATTATTCTTGCATGAATTTTAGGACACCTTTTCGAATATAAGTAACTAGACGAATGGCCCGGGCAACGCCCGGGTTTTACCCGAGTGCGAATATATTTTAAAAACGTTGTCTTGGGTGGTCGCTATAGACAGGGTGGTCTGTATAGACAGGTGTATGTA